AGAGAGAGAAATAGAGAGGGGGGGGGGAGAGATATGCGGGGGCGTGAGAACACAGCGGGCCGGGCTGTGCCTCCGCTGATATACAAATAAGCAGGCGAGAAGGCGCCCCCGGCGAGAAAATGGCAAAGTATAAAAAGGAAGTGTTATGGGTGACGGGGAAGGTACATTGTGAACTTGAGCGCATTATTACGGCGCTATATTCTCCGCGCTCCCGGAGCCAACATCAGATTCTCTTCTCTTTGTCTCCTTTTATTCCTTTATTCTTTCTCACCCCCCCTCTGTCTCTCCGCGCCCTTGCTCGGCGGCGGCCTCTCGCCTTTTACCATTTCATCACCTTCACATTTTATCTTCCTATATTTTTTTTTTGCTCTCCTTTTCGAGCCTGTTTTTCGCCCGCCTGCTCCACTGTCTTCGCGTCACGCGCCTTCCCGCGCGCCCCGCCCCTCCTCCGCGTGTAATTATGAGCCATTCACACTTTGTTTCTTTCGCTGATTGGCGGGGGCCACCGACGAAGAAAAGCGAAAAGACTCACAATTTTCTCTTCTTTTTTTCTTTTGGTACTAACTTTGCGATTTGTGGGTCTGAAAAAATAGGCTGGGGGCGTGGTGGCTGCACCGCTGTGTAAGCCAATATGAACACAAGGGCGTGATGAGCTCTGAGGGCTGGAGGTGAATGTGAATGTGAATGCAGCTGAAACCAAAGAATAAAACGTATAATTGAGCGGGATGGGAAAGTGCTGAACATTAGTATTCATCATTTACCCGTCCCTCCTCGCCCCTAGCTGCTTCCCCTCCAACCACACTCTCCCCCTCCTACCCCTCGGGATTCATCTTCAAACAATTTCGCACAAACAAGGGAGGCGTTTGGAAAAAAGAGAATTGCTGTTCGTCTCGTCTAGTCACAATCGAATCCTTGGCGCTACGCGCCTACGTGTACTGTGTGTGGTCGAAACACAATCACACATAGGCGCAGAAGCAGGGAGCGCTCTCTGTTGCACCAACCGACTTACTGTCGTGTGTGTGTGTGTGTGTGTGTTTGAAAGAGAGAGAGGAAGAGAGGAGGGGGGGGGGGGCAGATAGATCTACTTCAGCGATGAAGGCGCGACACGACTCGAGACTAGGAGGGCTCGGCGGCGGCGCGCGAAAATGGAAAGAAAGCAGAAGCGATCAAATTACGCGGACCCACTGAGTCGTGTGTGTGTGTGCCAGTGTTTGTGTGGTTGTGTGTATGTGTGTGTGGGGGGGGGTATGGCGCTTTTCTACTTGCTTAGGGTTTTTAAGTCAGCATTGAATTGCTTCCTTTCGTCGTCCCCGCCCTTTTCCCCCTACCGGGTTCCACCTCCTCTTATTCTTGGACATGGTAAAGCTGTGCGTGCGCTTGCCTTGTGGAGATTTGAATCGAATAAGCAATTGAGAGAGAGAGAGAGAGAGAGAGAGAGAGAGAGAGAGAGAGGAAAGGGGTGGGGGGCGCAGGGCAGCACACACACTGCGGCAGCCTCCAGTCTCCAAAAGGTATACAAAACAGCTAACTTGCAGGCAGAGGGCTCTGTCTGTAATGCCCACAAAGATTTCCCCCGACCCTGCTTTGGGAACGGCCCTTTGAAGGCCAATGCGAATCCCTATCGGATCGAGAGTATCCGAGGCACTTTTTTCTCGGCCCAATAAAAGTGTCACACGTTGCCGCCGAAGTGCGCACAACGTAAGTGTGTGGACGGTGTTTGACGTGTGACATAATCAATAACTGAAAGGCGTGTTACGATCACCGTCATGTATGCCACGTTTTTTTTTCGCACTGCTGAAACTAGGAAAGAGCTTAGATTTAACATGATACTCAGCAGTTTTCTTTTCGTTTCCCTTTTTCTTGCGGTGTTTAAAATTTCGTCCGCAGAAAGGAGCATCAGCAGGCGGTTGGCAGATGGACGGCATAGCGGCTCGAACGCTGCAAAGTTGTTTGAATGGCGGTGAGTTTTGCCGCCACAACTGTCCGGGACGAGTTCAGTGGCGCGGCTAACCGTCTCTAGTGCTTGATTATTTGTCGGACCAGTTAGTGTCTCTGCCCATTTTCCTCTCGCTCGCGCGTTTTGTCGCGTCGTTTAATAGTTTTCGTGGCGCGCGAATTCGCCTCGCTGACCATACACCTTCCGTTTTTGCCGCTGCGTTTCTAACGTTTTCGCAGACAGTTTCTCGCTCATCCTCATCGCGGGCCTTATCCAGGCGGAAATAGGGTTGGAATCACCTGAAAAGTTTCCGTGAAATTTACGGAAAAAGCGGAAAATTTTCCAGACCCATGAAGATTTTATTTTTCTGACACGAGACTTCCAGCCTAAGACATTAGGCTTTCCGACCTGAGACATGAAACTGTGTGGTTAGTGTGGTTAGAGGGGTCAGAGGGGTAGCAAGGCGCACAGTCTCATGTCTCAGGTGTCGGCAAGTCTCGGGAGACTTCCAGCCTGAGACATGAGACTATGTACTTGGTAGTGATACATCCCCTGACCGAGGTCATGTCCGGTCTCAAGTCCAGTCTCAGGCCCAGTCGCATGTTTTCTAGTCACAACGTCACAGCCCAGTTTCGTCTCATGTAACCGTAACAACAAACCAAACACACCACCGCAACGCAGAATAGAGCTGCGCATCGGCGGCGGTGGCGGCTCGTTGGTTGAACTCTGTGCTCCGCTGTTCATGGTGCGCGCGGCCGGAAAGCTACGCGCTTACAACGCCGCCAACAGCAGCAGCACGCCAACAGTTCGCGCGGATGTCTGCGCCGCTGATACCGGCTGCTCAGCCGCAACTTGGCGCGTAAATCTCTCCCAATAACCTCACTATGCGCGCCGCAACGCCGTGCAGAATTTCTCATAAACCGGTCGAGGAGCGCCCCGGCGGCGGCGTTTCGCTGCTGCTGTGGCGGTTGCGGCGGCGGCAGGGCGCCGCTGTTACCACTTCGTTAATGGAGCTGGCTTCCTGACCTCCAAGTGTATCGCGGCGCCCTGCCCTGCCGCTGTTGCGGCGCGCCGTGGGGCACACTAACGTGGCGGGGCGGGGCTGTCTGCTGCTGCTGCTGCTGCTGCTGCTGCTGCTGCTGCTGCTGCTGCTTGGTTTGCCTCTTGAGCGAAAACTTTTCGCCCTTCCCCCATTTATCTGCTGTGAAATAAGCAAGCACGAGCAGTTGCGGGTGCGGGGAGACGAAAGTTTACAGAGCAGAGAGAGAGAGAGACTGTACTATACACTGCTCTCATCATTATGAAGATGATGATTATTATTTAACCTCCGGTGTGAGAGGGAGAGAAAAAGGAACGGGTGGG